TGTTAATAGCTCCATTTTGAATTAGGGTTAGCAAAGATGTGATTTAGAAACAAAATTCAAACCTTGTGTTAAATATATCACTGAAAGCAGATGGGCATTGCCCACCATTTTTTCCTCTAGCGTGCTTTTGTAATTTTATAAAGGAGCAGACGCCAATATTTTTAGTATCACTATGAAAAGCATCAATTCTGCATGCTAAATTTTTAACTTCTTGCATGTATTGTCTGAAATGGCTGTATACCTCCTTTTAACTTAGCTACAATACAAAATGTATGCATGCCCACTGCTACATGGCTATTTTTGCTTTCTTTTCTCTACTGCGGTCCAATTTGTTTTCCAGGCAGTATCAAAGGAAACTGGTAAAAATAATCAGGGAAACAAGCCAAATTTCACTTCCTATATCTTATTTCAGTTCTGTAAATTCTAATCCTGCACATATGTGGTCATAAATGTGATTTAGGAATTGAAGATTAAAGAGAGCGTCCCAACATTTTGCAGGGTAGAAAACAGAAGGGAAGATGATGAAATGGCAGTGCGGATGGTGTGCATTTGCCCCGCAGATAATATGAAATCGGATCTCCAGCTTGCAATACGTGAACCGGAGGGAGGAAATGTGGGTGTCTAAATTAAGGGTTCCCATTAGCGCTTTGGGGACCACCAGATCCTTGCGCATTTTGAGAGTGAGACACGTGCAAAGAGAAATGGAAGACGGGGCTGAATTCCGGCTCAGCTGTTTTCTCAACATGAGTCATTAAGCAAGTTTCCTGACCTCCCCCTCCTGCTCCGCTATCTCATCCATAACGCGGGGCTTGTGAGGCTGCTGTGAGCTCGAGAAACAAAGCTTAGCGTCTGGCAACACCGCAGCTGCTCCACAAATGACAGCCAACTGAATCTCAGAGTCATCAGACGGGCTTCTCCAGTTTTTAGAAATGATACCGATTCCTCAAAATGCTCCCGTAAAAGAAATCTTATTTTAAAAGTGTTACTATCTGTGGGCTTCTTTTTTTTTTTTTTTTTTTCATTTTAATGGCATATTTTCCAACCTGGAATGGATCACATCACCCACTCATACCATTGTTTTCTGGATTCTTCCCCAATATATCTCGATAAATACCAACTGTTGTGAATATCTGTCTTCAAAACAAGGGGTGGGGGCGGCAGGGATATCTTTTCTCTATTTTATTTTTTAATTTTCCCGTCAGACTTTTTTTTCCTAATGCATGATATTTTTGACTTCAATTAAAAAAGGCAGGAAGTACTACACATCTCACTGGAGAAGTCATTCTTATCCAGATTTCAATTAACATTTGCTGACTAAAATTCCGGACGCTTGGATAAGATTCAAGTCAGTATGTGAGGTGAACTCAGTCTCTGAATCTCCTGGGGCTTGTTTGCTCTGATGACGGACACAATCATGGCCAATGCTGATTAGGGAAGCATTTCCTGCAGCCCAAGTCTGATAGCAGAATCCAGGGGCCAGGAAGTGAGTCTGTCGTGGGCAAAAGTTGCTGTCCACTCACATCACCCCTTGCTTCCACGGAAAGTGAGTGAGGAGAGTAAAAAGTAACCAGTGCTCTGTCCCTTGGCTTCCAGAAAGCCAGAAAACAAGTAAAATTCGGAAAAAGTCGAGATAACACAACCCACAAATAGGTTCAATGAAAGAAACAAAACACATGCCTACTGAAACCGTCTGAACTCTGCTACACGGTTCTCTCTGCCACGCAAGTGTATACAGATAACCCCAAGACTGTCTTGAGTCATCTTTTCTGTTCCTTAATGGCCTACATGAATTTATTTTCCTCTCTTTCCTTGCTTTCTTCTCTCTCTCCTTA